AATTAACACATAAAAATGAATGAATAAATAAATAAATTAATTAATAAATAAATAAACAAACGAATGAATGAATAAATAAGTAGATTAATGAATGAATGAATAAATAAATAAATTAACACATAAAAATGAATGAATAAATAAATAAATTAATAAATAAATAAAGAAACGAATGAATGAATAAATAAGTAGATTAATGAATAAATAAATGAATAAATAAATATTGCATAGAGAACGGGGATCTGGAGTGTCTTAACAATCTGATGCATGCAAATGGTAAAATAATTGTGATTTTTGGGGAAAGGGATTTGGTGTCACAAGTAATGTAAATTAAATAAAGATTAAAAAGGGAATCTGGAAATACAATGACAAACAGTGGAGAGCGGCACGGTGGCTCAGTGGTTAGTACTGTGGCCTTACAGCAAGAAGGTCAGTTGGTGTTTCTATGTGGAGTTTGCATGTTCTTAATGCACATACACACACACACACACACTTTTATTTTGTTTTTATGATTTTTTTATACATGTCCACTTTGCTGGGGTAGGGAGGGAGGGGGGGGGGGTTTCCTCTGATTAGATGATGTAGTACAGACCAGATTGTTTGTTTTCAGTGTTTTTTATGCGTGTTCTGTAAGCAGGACTCCAGCACTTGCATCAGTCTGCATGTATGTATGTATGTATGTATGTATGTATGTATGTGTGTGTGTGTGTGTGTGTGTGTGTGTGTGTGTGTGTGTGTGTGTGTGTGTGTGTGTGTGTGTGCGTGTGTGTGTGTGTGTGTGTGTGTGTGTGTGTGGGGTTCAGATCCGGACCGCCGGTGTGAGGAACGTCCCCTAGAGTGGGAAAGGACACGCACAACACCCTCCCCCCAAAGCGTCTCTTTTGAGCGCCGCCACTAACCTTTTGGCAGCCACCAGTAAAGTCTATTCTCCTGTTGTGCTGGAGGAGGACAATGTGCTGAATGAGCCCGTACCTCCAACAGTGTGGCCATTCAGCGCTGTTGGGAACCCACTCTCAGGCCATTGTGCAGAGCGCTGTAACTGCACTGACACACACACAGATCTGTCCTCGTCCTGCAGCTACTGCTTCACCATCACTCTTTATATACATGATCATATGTATTCAGTCATGCTGATGTGCATGCTTATACTCATGCTTATGTGCATGGTTATTTACATTTTTATATGCATGCTTATAATTCTGCTTATATTCATATGCATGCTTATATTTGTTTATATGGATACATATATTTTTGCTCGTAGTCATGTTTAAGTGCATGTTTATAATGATTATGTTTCTATGCATGTTTATAGTTTTGTTTATACATGCTTTTTTCATATGTGCTTGTATGCTTATGACCATGTTTATATGCATGCTTATATTCATATTTATATGCATGCTTATACTCATGTTTATGTGCATGCTTATATTTATTTTTAGGTG